ACGATGATGATGACGATGATGATGATGACGATGATGATGATGATGATGATGACGACGACGATGATGATGACGATGATGATGATGACGATGATGATGATGATGATGACGACGACGACGATGATGATGATAATGTGAATGACAATGAAAATAGCCAGGAAGGCATTCATCCTTGTCAGACAAGTCACCGAACACAATATATCCTCATTTAAAAGGGGCTCGCGCCAAAAAAACCTCCACACATCACACACACACGACACACCAAACACACACAACACATCAAACACACAACACCAAACACACACATCACACACACAACACCAAACACACACAAACATCTATTTACCATACAGACAAACAGACAGAGAGACAGAGAGACAGACAGACAGACAGACAAACTCTTACATAACAAATACATATACACACATACGTTTTCATACCAATTACACATACAGCTGTTATCAATCATCTTTTTAAAAAACCAAAAAAACGCGGTCGGCGCTCCATACTTGAAATGACGTCACGAGGGCCACGATAACTTCATAGATCTTTTTAACGTGCAATCCTCTCCTGGGAATGATCGGGAAGAAGATGAACTGGACCCCCAGAAGTGGGATTAATATCATTGTAGCGCGGACAGCTTTCCTAAACGAAATTAGTGTGCATGTGTGTGTATGTGTGTGTGTGTGTGTGCGCGTTTATGTGTGCGTGTGTGTATGTGTGTGAATTAGTGTGTATGTGTGTGAATAAGTGTGTTAGTGTGTGCGCGTGTGTGCGTATGTGTGTGAATTAGCGTGTTAGTGTGTGAATTAGTACGTCAGTGTGAGTGTATGTGTGTAATATTTTTGTGTGTGTGTTTGTGTGTGTATGTGTTATTGTTGAGTGTGTGTATCTGTGTATGTGTGTGTTATTGTTGTGTGTGTGTGTGTGAAAAAAATTTGAATTTAAACTTTTACTATACGTTAAGGATTATTTTTATACCTTTAGACTGGAAAAAAGATAGAGAAAGAGAGAGAGAGAGAGAGAGAGAGAGAAAGAGAGAAAGAGAAAAAGATAAAGTGAGAGTAAATGGAATGTATGTTACTTTTGAATACGGTTTTGTAATTGGGGTCATTTTAAGGTCAAAGTTCAAAAAGTTGAATGTTTATTTATGTGCGTGCGTGCGGGTGTTTGTGTGTGTGTGTTTCCTGGTAGGTGCTTGAATTTTTATTTGAATTCGATTGATTGATTAACTAGTTGGTCGATTGATTGATTGATTGATTGATCGAACGAAAGAAAGATAGAACAAACAAACTGATAAAGAAAAAAACAGTTCATTCAAATGCATTGAACAATTCATTCAAATGCATCGAACAATTCATTCAAATGCATTGAACAATTCATCCAAATGCATTGAACAATTCATCCAAATGGAAAAAGTATGTTGCGTAGAAAATAAATCCATCAAAAAAAAACTCCTCATGTTAAAGTAAGTTTGATCGAATTCTCACAGGATTACATTGATGAGAATAAAGCAGATTAATAAAAAAACGCAAATGAATGAATGAATGAACGAATGAATGAATGAATGAAGAATGCACCTACTTAACTTGGCAAGTGTCAGGTGAATTTACCGCTCTCAACTTTGTCACTAGAACGCGAATGATGTTGAAGAGGAAGAAGAGATTGGCCTATGAATTGTGGAATGAATGAATGGATATATGAATGAATGGATGCGTGGGCTTGCACTTAATAATAGTAACAACAACAACAAATATAATTATAAAAAATCAAACGACTCAACCCAGCCACCAAACAACGACTCGATCAGCCAACCAATTAGATGACCCAGCCAGCCAACCATTCAAACAACTAAACCAGCCCACCAATCAGACGACCCAACCAGCCAACCAATCAAACAACTCAATCTGCCAACCAATCAGATGATCCAACCAGACCAGCCAACCAATCAAACAACTCAACCAGCCAACCAATCAGACGACTCAACCAGCCAACCAATCAGACGACTCAACCAGCCAACCAATCAACTCACTGCAAACGTGAATATGATGAAACTGCTAATGATCCATTTTTCTTTTGTTTCCAAGTACCAACAGCTGCAAAAATAATTATAAATAATAATAATTATAAATAATAATAATTATAAATAATAATAATTATAAATAATTATAATAATATAATAATTACTAATAATAATGACAAATAATCATCATCATCATCACCGACATCATCATCAACATCCTCTTCAGTATCGTCATCACACGCAATTGAGTTAAAAGTTGCGAATTTAACTTAAGGTAAGCTGCACTCGAAAACATCCAAGGAACGACTTTTATCACAAGAGAATGACGGCTACCTTAAATCTCTTTCAATTATCTTAAATTAATAAATTCATAAATTAATTCTTTAGAATTAAAATTGGATTAAATCTACTCTTATTCGGGATACAAGTAATTGGAATTTTTATTATTAATGATGATAATGTAAGTCTTCTCATTTCTTTATTATTATTATTATTTATTATTATTATTGATTATTATTTATTATTATTATTATTTATTATTATTATTATTATTTATTATTATTATTATTCTCGCTTTTTATTCATGCCCCCATAAATATCTTTTACTATCCTTCGACCGGCTATAAAGTGGAAATAAACAAGGAGAAAATTGAGTAGGGAGGGGATGGAAAGATGGAATGAATAAATGAATGAATGACTGGATGAATGAATAGAAAGAAAAAAAGAGAAAAAAGAATAAAAGAGAAGGAGAGAGAAAGTATGATATTAGCAAAAGCAATTTTTGATTTTGGAGAAAGAGAGAAAAGTTAGAATGATAGGAGGGGTGACGAAAGAGAAGATTAAAACTAAAAGGCAGAATAAAGTAAAGTAGAGAAAGAGAGAGAGAGAGAGAGAAAGAGGAAGAGAGAGAGAGAGGAGAGAAAGAGAGAAACATGTATAATGAAAGAGAGACAAAAATAAAGACAACAAAAACTGATCGTACCCAAAAAACGACAAGGTTATGAAGGAATGGTAGAAAGGCAATGACATAGAAAAACAAAAACGGACAGAAATTGGGCAAAAAAAAACAATAAAAAAAAACAAAAAAAAAACAAGAAACAAAGAATAAATAGTGAGTAGCGGAAAAGGAAGTAGGACATAAATTTTACCACAGATGGAGGTAAAGCGGTTAAATGGCCATTTCTAGTTAAAAAGAACGAATGAAGGAACGAAAGAAAATATGAATATCATCATCACCATCATCATCATCATCACCACCACCATCATCATCATCATCATCATCATCATCATCAATACTCACTAGGCAGCATCATTATCATCATTTCTGAATTTTCTTAAGCAGGTATACGAGGCCGTTGGAATAATA